GAGCAGACTACAGAGGCTCCCTGGGACAGACAATGCAGTTGTCGAAATAACACAGCATGGGGAGTCCTGGACAGAGGGAGATGGATCCTCTCAACCCAGGAAGAAAGTAAAGTGAAAATAACCACTCAAAATGCAGTCCTGGGGCTACTATTGAGGCAACTAAGATTCTGTGCTTTTATGTGCCCAAATTCCTGCTGCTTCGACTCATTGGAACTGCAGTCACACTGAAGTCACATTGAAGTTGGAGGTGGCTTAGCTCAAGGGAGAATGGAGTCAGCCAGCAGCAGACCTGCATTGACTTGCGGTGAGTGTCAGGAATAAAACCCTTCTATGGGAAAGGGGCACCAATGAGATGACATTTTGGAATTGGGCAGGATTGGCAAGAACAAGGAACAGCAGTGACTTCAATCAGTTGTTCCCTTCCCAGATGAGACTGATGGAGTGAGCTTGGCCTGGATCATACCCCTGGCTGAGACCCAATAAGTTGTCCCAAACCAATTCCCTATGTGTGGTGCACACTAACACAGTGAAGGCCTCGGCAGGTTGACTGACCCAGAGGGAAGGAGCCAGCATGTGCCACCCTGGTTTGCACCTCAATAACACACTGGAGTTGGCAGGATCACCTAGCCAGCACATTTGAGAAGAACCATAACCAACAAGGAAAGGGACTGGGACTTCCTCTATACACCTGTATGGAAGAAACCAAAAACATGAGAAGAGGAAGCAACAAGAAAAAGTCCTCAGCCCCAAACCCTGAGAACATTGATCCAGGAGAGGTAAATACAAAAGAGATTGAGGACAGCAAGCATATAATATCAGACACAGCATCAGTGGGCATAAAGAGATATCTTCAGGACCTCATAGATGAGCTCAAAAGTGAAATATTTAACCAAGTAAAGCAAGATATAAATAGATTAATAAAAGAAATGCTAAGCACCTCTCAAGAAGACACAGATGGAAGAATGGAGGAGCACAAAAAAAGGAGAGAAGTGTTTGATGAAGAATATAAAGAAAACATAAAATACATGAAGCAGGTTCAAAGAGATTACCAGGAAATAAAAATATCCATTGAAAGATGGCAAAATTACTTGAAAGAAACTAAGAATAGATTGTCCAAACTGGAAGACAGGTTTGCAATGTGTGATCATGAAAGGAAAATTTTCTTAAAAATAGCAAGGAAACAGGCAGTAAAAATACAAAGGCTAGAAGACAACAGGATGATCTATAACTTAAGAATAAAGAATGTGAATGAAGAATCAGGGGTACAAACAAAGGAACTACAAGGGCTATTCACAGAAATAATTAAGGAAAACTTCCCAAGCATAGGCAAAGGAAATGATATTCAGATGTATGAGACATACAGAAATCCAGCCACCTACAACCAAAACAGAGCTATACCCAGGCATACAATAATCAATATCTCAGAAATTCAGTATAAGAACAGAATATTAAAAGCTGTCAGAGAAGAGAAACAGATTACCTATAACAGAAAACCCATCAAAATCACAGCAGACTTCTCAACATAGACCATCAAATCAAGAAGAGCTTGGAGCAAAGTATTCCAAGCCCTGAAAGAAAATAACCTCCAGCCCATATTGATGTACCCTGAAAAAATGTCTCTAGAAATTAATAGAGAAACAAAATGCTTCCAAGACAAAGAGGAACTTGGGAAATTCACAACCACCAATCCAACCCTACAGAGAATACTGAAGGACATTCTAGAGAGAGAGAAAAGTACCAAGATTCCAGAAAGGAAGAAAGGCCTCAAGGAATGGAGCAGAAAGTGGAATGAAAAAGAAAAGCAGACAACTAATGGCAGAAAAAGAGCACAACAGAAATGAGGCAGAGAAGGTTGGCTATAATCTCTAATATAGACGGCCTTGATACACTAAAAAAAAGAAAAACACAAGCAGAGTAGATCAGGAGGTGGGGTCCACTGAGATGCTCTTTATAGGAAATATAATCTAAAAAAGGGTTTATGGACTGAAAATCAAACATGAGAAAACAATGCTCTATGTGACAGGGAACCAGAGAGTAATAGGGGCAACTAGACCACTATTTGTGGATAGCTTGAAAAGGCAGGCCTTAATAGGTAAAGTAATACAGCTAGAGATCAAGTCCAAGAAAGAGAAGGTTCAGAACCACTTAGGTAAATAGCAGGTTGCCCCCCCAATCTAAAAACTGAAGGTGTTGGTGAGACCTAAAAATGCACAGTGCACCCTGGGTGAGTGAAAGGGGAGGACTAGTCTTAAAAAAGATGGCAGAAGATATTGTTAATAGTGTATCAGGATTTAAAACCTATATTACTCGCACCATTCTGCTTAGATTTTATTCTGTCCAGTTTGTCTACTTGCACTAGATCTGAGGGTACAGATAACTACCCCAAAATAACATGATATAGTACAGTAATCATCTTTAATTTCCTATTAACTCAATCTGAGGCCTCCTATAACTTATACTGTTTTATCATGACTGATGTTAGTTAAATATGGCTTGTTTGATTAATGTTTAGTATCAACAGATTTTATTCAAAACTGTTATGATTGATAGTATGAAGTCTGAAAGTATGGGCAACTACACTGAAGATGACAAGATTCACTATGATACCCATTCTGGTTTGATTACTACCTATTTTTGAAGTTTTATGCTATCTACAAAGTTGTGTTTTTATTAATATTGTTATATACTGCTATATTCAATTATACTATGTCTGATGATATAGATAATTGTATTGAAGATAACAAGAGACAATACAGTAACTATGGTAGAACTCCTTGTACAGTAGTTTTATATGTCTTTTTCATTTCATGTGTTTATAGGAATATGTTTTGTTTTGTTTCTCCCTCTGATACAGAAAAGATAGAAATACATGTTAAGACTCATGCATACGTAGGACCTATAAACAGTTTACAAGAACTGATCTTATGACACATGATGAAATGAACACATACTTTGAAGAAAAAGAGACACTACAGTACCCAGTGCTGATCCTGGACTGTCATGATGTGAAATGCAGAAATACTATTATTCTTTGTTCAGAGTGATTTTAGCCTGCTTTGGTTTGTTTAATCTCAACATAAATGAAGATATGGATAACTGCATGTATGTTTAAGTGTATAGGATTGATAACCACATTACTAAGTTTTTGTTGGATAGTTGAACAGAGCTGCTTGCAGTCTTGCTATTTTAATCCCCACTTTGTATGTTTCACTTTTGTATATTGAACAACTATTTGTAAGTGGACAATATGTAATCATCAACTAGTGATTTCTTACAGTTTATTTTTTCTATGAAAGTAACTATTATTTCTACCTGTTTTCTGTTTTGTTTAGTCTTTCTTTAAATAAAAATTTTTAAAAAATGTTCAATATCTTTGGCCATAATAAGAATATGCAGTAAAATGACACTGAAATTCCATCTTATTCTAGGAAGAATGATTGTCATCAAAAGCTTAGGATGTAACAGATGCTAGTATAACAGTGCTACAGGGGAAAAGGGACCCTTTCACATCACGGTTAGGATTGTAAACTAGCATCTAACCATGGAAATTAAGTATGGAGAATCCTCAAAAAGCTATAACTAGAAATTCTATTTGATCAGCAATTTCACTTGCAGGCACTTTTCTGAAGGAGTTAAAGATCTCAGTACAGTGACACATACCTAGCTATGTTCAAGGAGCACAACTTACAACAGCTAGGTGGATAAAGAAAATGTTGCATATAAACACACTGAAGTACTGCTCAGCCATTAAAAACAATAGATTTGAGGAATTTGGAGAAAAATCAATGCATCTTGAGACTAAAAGCTAAGTGAAATTAATCAGAAAGTTAAATACCGTATGGTTTCCCTTATAGAAGAAACTCAAAGTATAAATAATTTAAGGTATAAAATGAAGCATGGATGATAATTCATATGCAAATTAGGATCTACAGATACAGCTACTGGAGTTAACTAAAGGTTAACTCTTCTCTTTGGAGAAGACTATGGTTTGGAATGTTTAATTTTTCATATAAACCATTATTTATTTTCATCATATTCTGTGTGGTACTCAAGGTTCTTATCTGTACAATGGGAAAAAAATCCTATTCTGCCTACTTCAGACAGTTAAAAAGAGGATTCAAGGCAAAATTTAAATAACTACAATGAGAATCGCAAAACACTATGGGATAGTACCAGAGCCCTGCATGGAAAGAGTGAATTTGTCCCTGCACAAAAAGATACAAAGATCAAGAGAGGAAAGAAACACAGGCTGATTGAATTGGTCAGCTGTGTGTACCTTTGGGCAGCATCCAAGGATCCCCTACGTATCTCATAGCCATGCACACTTCTGGGTCTCTCACATATTAAGAACGTTAATTGGCACAGATCTGAAGAATAAAGGAACACTGGCTAAGCATGCATGACACAATTTTATATCTCATTAAGTCCAGCTAGCCTTGAATGACTCTGAGGTGTCTCCAGAATCATGGCTGTGAAAGATTCCAAACCTCATACATTTACAGGAAGCTATTTTCCTTTCTTAGAAAATGGTTACAGCAATATTCTCTGTGCTGCTAAAGACTCCTTCTGCATATTAAATGACTATGTAAAGAGGCTGATGCGGGTGTGTTAGAGGGTTCCAGGTGCACCCTCCTTCTGTTTACCTTCCCGAAGCACTTTTCCCAGTGTGACACAGACACACACTGCACTCAGGAAAGCATAGGTATGTATGTGTCACTGTACTGAGATGTTTAACTCCTTCAGAAAAGTGCGTGCAAGTGAAATTGCTGATCAAATGTACTCAGGAAACCAATAGGAGCACGAAGGCCTGGAAGCATTCCACTTTCTGTTCACAACAGTTATATCTATGCGCTGAAATAAAATGCTTCTAAATCAGGAACACCTGTCTCAGCACCTAGCAACATATACAGATGGAAGGTTGCTAACTGGACCAGACAAACACCAGTCTCAGGAAGAATCAGACTTTCAAAGCATAAGGACACAGCTAAAAATGCATTTACCTCAGCAATTATGTGTGTAATTTCTGAATAATTGTGGCATCTTCTCACACAGGACCGAGCCAAGAAGTCTTCCACCAGCCGTGTTCCAATGCCATATCCCCTGTGCATGAAGGAGACAGTGGTCTGCACTCGTAGATAACAAACTAAACCAACCCAAATGGCCATGGCGAGTAGCTTTTGGCCTCTTTGTCCCCCTGAGTCCTGAAGGAGAACAACACATGCAGGAAACCAGCATGCTGCAAGCACAGGGGTCTGACTGGAGTCCAGGGCAGACTGGCCCCAATGTGAGCCTGTCAGGGAAACCTTCAGAAGGTGGGTGCCTTAGCCTAGCATCTCCCACCATGAGCTACTGATACAAACTGAAGGAGTCTAACCCTTTTGCTACAGGCACGTTGCCTGAGTACACATCTTCCTCTAGCATAATTACCACACTAAGAGGGCAAGCGTTTCCAGGTGCATTCTACAAGTCAGGGTAGAAGCAAACAAATATGTTTTTCTGGCAACAGAGATGTCAGCAGTTAGGTTTTGTAATATTCATGGTGTGTGTGTTGGGGGTATCCAAAGCCAGAAATCCCATTTTTCATTTCCAGGAGACTGAAAAATGAGTTTGGAAGCTAGTATTTCTGTTATCTCTTCATTTTACCCAAGGAAGCAGCTCTAGTGTAAAGGAAATTTCAAACCTTACAATCTGACAGTGTATTAAGAGCAGTAAAGGCAGGCCCAGCCTGTTTAGACTCAGCTAGCCTTGAGATTGCAGTGCCAGGTGTAACTTGTAAAATGGACATAACACAGCTAGAAAGCACGCCTTACTATGCTAACTTGCTTCAAGGAAAGAGTGGCTCACTTAAAGATAATGATCGATTTTTCTTGTTTACCTAGCTCCTGACCTTAAGATACCTCCTCCAGCCCAGAACGAGCTTGCCTGACAACATATGACCCAGCCTATGGAACCAATTATAAAATAACCTGCTATCAGTCTTATGTACTTCTGGCCTAAAATACACCTAAGTGTCTCTTTAACCCCAAGACAGGGCTGGTGATTTAGAACTGAGTTTCCCCCAGCCCACAAGCGGAATAAAGTGTTGCCTTCCAACTCCTTGGTACCTATGTGTCTTCCATCTCATTTGGTCCTTGTTTTTTTACAACAGGTGCCGTACTGGAAATACTGATTTTAAAGCCTCGCAAGGAGAAGTGAGATCACACAGAGAACGTGGCCCATATGACTGACTGAGCAGCTCCTTTGAATAGGCACTTTGGAAATGAATTTCAGGACAGAGTTAAAGAGATGTCAGTGTCTCTGTCTCACAGAAACATGCAGTCCAGTTGAGGGATTACAGCTTTAATCGTGGATCTAAAAATGGGCACGTATACAGTGGTGACTTGTGCATTGAAGGCAAATGGATTTGATGCAAGAGTGCTTATTATTTCACTGATGCCAGTGCAATATTCTTTGTTTATACTTCTGAGTGGATAGAAACAGTCATTTTAGCTCAATTAACTTTGAAGATAAATGGCTTATAGTTGTAGCCAGAATCTCATGCTGAAAGAATTTAAGAGACAGTATATTTACTTTGGAAGAGACAGTTGAACCTGTATGTTAAAATGTGTACAGGACTGGGGATTAGTGGGAAAGCCCACACCCAGCATGCACCAGGCTGAGTCCATCTCCAATGCCACATACCAAGTTTTCTGTAGGTGTAGGCATGGGCATTAGGCATAGACACAGTCTCTGCTACTGGGAATATTGCCGGAAAGTTGATGTATATATCTTGCGTTGGTCAAAAAAAAAAATACAGTAGATATTTATAAATCAAATTAAAACTGTATGGTCTCAGTAACTGTAAAACAAGTTCAAAGGTCAATTTTTAAAGCAAAGATCTTCCTGAAATGTTTCAGAACTATATTTTTTATTAAGTATTTGATCCTAAAATGTTAAAATCTCCATTGAATTAGATCAACAAGTATATCTTTGTCAACTAAATGATCATACATTTATTACACAAAGCAATGCACATTTACTAGAAGTCACATGAAATAACTTCTGCCAGTGCCAAGTCAGATATTAAAGTACGACCTAAGCATTTGCAGCTACTGTGATTGTAGATTGCTGCGCTGAGAAGCAACTCAAAAAGCCAGTGGGTGAGTAGTTGTCTATTTGCACCCTTGTGCTAGTCACCTTGACTAGTCACAAAACTGAACTAAAATGAAGAATAAAAGATGTGTACCAAAACTAACACATTTTTTGTAAAGAAAAATGTGAATAAAAATGTAAAGGAGGAAGACAAGGCAGAAAGTATCTTTAAGGGTTTTTGTGAGTGTTGTTGTTGTTTCTTGTATTCCAGCAGAAAACACAAGGAATGTTTTTAAAAAGCTCTAAAATGCTAGACTGAATTTCTTCTTCAATCTCCTAAGTAAAACTTTTCCCATTCATTGCTGTTACAGACTTTTTAAAGTTTGTCATTAAGAGATTGAAAAATATTGACAGATATTTTAGGGGTTGGCAAAAATCTGATGATCACCTAACAATTTTGAGGAAGATTTAAAAGATCGAATTTAGCATCAAGAATGTCCACTAAAAAGACAAAAAAAATGAGCTTATTTAAAAAAGAAATAAACGAGTTTTTTATTTAATGTTTTTAAAGTAAATTTAATGGTAAAAAACATTCAAGCAATAAAAACATGATATAGGAAAGAGAAAACCTTCCTTCAATCTGTTCTCCACCATCATCCTGTCTTCTTCTGGGCAACTATGATTAGTTTTTTGCATATCTTTTCATTGATAATACATTGACATAAACAAATATTTATTTGAAAGGAACTATGTCAGCAAAACAAATTACTGACACTAATCAGATTTGATGTTCTCTCATATTATGAAAATAATAATCTCAGGTTCACCATATCTGTTCACCACTAAGAAAAAAATGATTCCTCACTTAAACAAGAAAATGCTCCATGTTGACGATTATGGAAAAGAGTCCCTTCCTATTATTTTAGGCTCTCAACTCAGATATCGGCTGTAAGAAGTGATATCTGGCTGTGATTTGGTGGATCAGCGGAGGAGCTGGAGAATTGGAGCAAGTCATCAGGGCAGAGAAAGGCAGGAGGTGCAGGAAGCAGGTGGCAACCCCAAGAAGGAGCAGTTTTACTCACATTTTGTCTAAGTACTTGTTCACGTCTTCGTCTTTTTCATGATCCTCACACAGCTGAGCGACCAGAGCTCCATAGGTCAGGACCAAGAGGTCTTTGTTCTGGAGAGAAAGAGACAGTCTTAGGTGACAGGCAAATTGATGACAATATTCTACTCTATTTTCTTAACAAAATCTTTGGAGAAATCAGCCTCAGAGATCATCTGTTTGTTTCTTTCTATCCTCTCATTTTTGCAACAATTTTCCCTTTTGAGAACAAGCTTGACTACCTTGCTGGGGTTGAGGGGGAAACCTGTGAAATCAGTTTCTTAATGTGAGATCCTCTTTCTATGCATTTGTCATTTACTTTGCAATGTGTTTTCATAGAGGAAGGTTTTTAAAATTTGCTAATTTCTGACAGAAGTGTCTGTTGTTCTGGGATGGTCCTGACTTCGCAGTTTTCAGCTGAATGAGAATGGTTGGGTGAGCCTCCTTGTGCATCTGTACCACACCTCAGGAACCCCCATGTGCTAAGGAGATGCTCAGGGTGATCCCTACTGCCGCAGTGGTGAATTCATGGAATGTTTTTCCTTTTTCATTGAAAGAGAGAGAGAGAGAAAAAGAGAGACACACAGAGAGAGAATATGGCATGTAGCTCAGCAGCACAGAGTCTGCCTGGCAAGCATGACGTCTTGAGTTCAGTTTCCAGTACGAAAACAAACAAAAAAGAAATAAAAAAAAAAGAAAACAAAACCCCAAAAATTAAAAAAAGAGAAGAATATATGCTTTTAAAAAATAGATATCCAAAATATGTTCCATACTAGGATGTACAAAGTGCAGCTAATAACTAGTATCAATTTAAATCTTGTTTAGTATAAGATGTATTGAGAATATGTGAAATAGAAAACATAAAGTTTAATAAATCCATTTGTAAAAGACTTCTTACTTTGCTTGATAGTGAGAACTAAGAAAGGAATGGAGGTCTTTTTTTGGTACCAGGAATCAAACTCAGGACCTCATGCTTACCAAGCAGGCACTGTGCCACTGAGCGACATCCCTGGCCCAGGGACGAAAGTCTTAAAGATAATCCATCCCAATTCTGCTAGTCCTGTAGAGGGACAAACGAAGCCTCAGGAAGCCAGGGAGACTTGCGTGGCCTCTGGGCCTGTGGCCTCCTCCAAGCCAGCGGATATCACTATAGTGTGTCAAGCACGCTGGAGGAGAGGTGGTAGTAACTGGAGATGAAAGAGAGGTAAATACAGAAAATCATCTGGCTTTACACAAAATCCATATTGCAGGGGAGGTGAACCGTAGGTTCCTGTTTAGAAAGGGTATCTTTACCCATGGGCCCAGGTATTTTAGACAAACAAATCAGTCGGGTGAAATAAGACATGCTAATATTTGTGTTTACAAAAAACAAACCAACAAAAGCATGGGCAGGAATGAGTTAAAAATATTTTATTCAACCAAGTGTCCTCTACAAAGTGTTATAATGTAGATTTCAATATTTTCAGAGTTAGCTCAGCCCCACTAGTCCCTTCTGTTGTCCATGAGCTTTTACGGTGAAAAACACACTTCTTCAGTCAGATAGAATATGTATTACTGTTGTGCTAAAAAAAAAAAAAAAAAAAAAAAAGCTAAAATGCAAAGTTAAAAAGATTGTTATTAGCACAAAGAGCTTTGTCATTCTGTGCTATGCTTATTGCCCTAGTCACCATGTACCTGGAAACTGACCACATACTTATAGACTAATTGACATGTCGCCATACTGTTCCGTTTGCGTCATCACCTTAGTAACCTGTTTGCTGTGTCAACCATTGTTCCCTTTGTGAGAGACAAATGATGCTGTGTCAACCTTTGTTCATTTTGTGAGAAACAAATGTTCCCGGAATTAGCAGACCAAGGGCTGTAAATTAAGGGAAAAAAGGGCCAACCACCAATTGCAAAACGTCTCTGACCCCAAGAAAAGGAGAACAAAGACCTTCCCCATTCTTGCTCTTGTCACGTCATTGGTTTAATCGCTATAAAAACCTGTCAAAATTCTAACCTAGTTTGACAGCTGTGCCAGCTCCACCTGCACTGTGCTGCTGGTGCCAACTTAAATAAAAGTGCTGTTTTTCTTTTTAAAAAAAGACATCTTTTCTTAAATAACATCTTGGGGCCTTGTTTTTTGGGGTACAACAATTACCAGTCAAGAAATTTTCAGTGAGTAGAGGCAAAATCTCATTTGGTACATATGGGCATAATTTATGAGGAAATAAGCCAAATATTAATTGGTATTATAGTAACATTCAATTAAGGCATAGGAAAATAATGAGTATGATGATATTTTTACTAGGAAATAAAGTGATAAAATGAGAAGGGATATGAATAAAAGGATTTTAAAACATGATACTGAGAGGTTCACCATGTATTCAGTTTTAATCCTGTTCTTACTTAAAAATTCTAGGAACCCACTTATTAATCATAAGAAATTATGATACATTGAACACAAATAAATGAAATATCCACCTAACATGTAAGAAGCCACATAGAAAACAAAGAGCTGCTCTGTACTAACTCCACAGCACAAACATAAGCAAAGGTACAGGAGGGAGAGACAGCAAAGGAAGGAAAATAGGAATCACAACATGTTTCTTACTCCCGGTCTCAACAAAAGCACCTGAAGAAGAGATAAAAGGAGACAAACTTGCACCCTGCCTTCCTAGCCACTGTAGCCTGAGCACAGAGCCCATTTATAACCAAGACCAACAGCATCCCTCCGCCCCTGACATACCAGGATATTTTGAAGCATATTTTACATATAATCCAGTTTCAAAACCTGTAAAAGCCCCTGGGCATTTTTCTGCTTCAAGAGCAAGGACTGTGCCTAGAGCTCTAGGAGCAATTATGTCTCAGACTCACATCATGGCCCTGAATAAATGTCAAGCCAACTACTTCTCCATGGTTTTTAAATAACTTTTTATATGAAAATAGAACACTGTTGATTATTTTTAGAGGATAAAGCATTCTAACCTGATACACATATATCTATATTTCAGTAAAACGTGAACTGTGGATATGCAATACTATCACTTTTAGCATGGGGGATCCACAGAAAAGTCAACCCAGGTCCCAGAATGCCAGGGGTCTCCCTGCAGGCCTGTCCAATCTGGATACACCGGGTCATCACAGCATTAAGCACCCAAGGCCAAAGTGACTTAATTATATCAAATCAGTTCCCTGAAGGAACACAGTAGAAAATGAACCATGAGCTTCACAGGTGCAATATCAGAATGGCTAATACTGTGCATGAGGATTAGAGATAATTTCCCTAAATTGAACCACAAAATATAAATTTTACAAGTAACTGTGAAAGTGGAACACACAGGAAGGAAATAGCCCAGATTAAATAAAAATACTCATTTTTAAAACTGAGAAATATTCTTTTAAAGGCATTCTTCAGATGCTTAGCTTTTCTGGTGATTATATTCATCTTTGATTTCACACATAATCCACTACTCTGTCTCTCTCTCTCTCTATATATATATGTATAAATTTCATTTTCTGTTTCACTCAGTGTGCAATACAAAGAATTGTTTAATCTTTTCAGATTCTCAGCAGAGACAAATGAAACATTTCATATTTTCATACAGTTAGTTATAAAAGGAAATCCTAAAAACCTGTAAAAACAATAGATTTTTTCTAATGGGGTATGACAGGTCATTGTAACTGTTCCAGTGATGCTGTTTATGGTCAGCTCCACTAAAACCTCTCTTGTTCCACTGAGAATTCAACTTAGCAGCATCACTTTTCAAAATAAATTAAAATACCACCCAAGGAAATATTTGCTGTGAATCAGGAGAACCTGGTTTATGAAAGATCTTACTATTTTATGGCACTCTGGTCTTCTGTGCGCAGGGCGAGACATAGCGTGGTGATGGAAATTCTGGTCCTCTATTCCTTTCTCTGCTCAAGGCCTCAGCAGTGCATCAGCTGTGATTCTTCCTGAAACGCCTACTTGCTTTGACACAAGAATGCTGTTTCTGCACGTCACTGCTTCTGCTCTTTGCTGAAATGGTGAAGCAACAGAACACAAGCAACAGGACTGCCTGGTACCCCCGGCGTGGTCGCTGATCCAATAGCTGCCTCATTTATAATAAATTGTTATCTAGACCTGAACAATCTAAGAGTGTGAAGTCAGAAGCAGAGAGACACTAAAAGTTCTTTCGCCCTGGGGAGTTCGAGAGTGCTTTTTTGTTCTCGTGCCAACACATCGTTTTCAAATCACAAACAGAAACCTTCACAATCCAAGACAGAGCTCGATGTTAGCATTATTCAGGCTTGTATTGATTGTCCTGTGAATTAGAGCGACAGAATCAGCAATCAGGAGGCACTAAATCCTGGATTCAGAGCTGACTGAGGACTCAAGTGGGGACCACACCATCCTTAGCCTGCAGACTCCCATCCTTGGTGACTGCGGTATTCAAAGAGGCCTGCTGTCTCCTTTCCATACCCACCCATCAGGGATTTCAAGGAGAGACAGAATGGGCGGTAGTTTCCTACAGACCTCTAGCTCACAGCGGGTCCAGTACAGTGTAATAGTTTGCAACGATACTGGCCGAGAAAGTGAGGCCCTAGACTTCTCTTGCTAGTCCCTGAGATGTTGGGGATCCGAGCCCATCTTAGGTATGCAGAAGGATAGATATTTAAAGTTCGAAGAAGAAATCCCATCTTGACAACCTCTTGGTGCAGGTCATCAAACCCATTCCAGAAATTCAAACGTTTAAAATAGTATCCTATTTCTTACAGTTTGGGAGAATCTGCCATAGTGGCTCTGTTACATTCTTGCTATAAAGTGACACAGTGTGAATGCTTGGAAAAAGATGTGGCCTAGTGTCCAGAGTCTAGGAAGCCTGGGAAGACTCGGCTCAGTTTCAGTTCTGTCACTAGCTGGCTATGGGGTTTGGACAGGCCACCGCACTGCTCTAAGGCTCAGTGTACACATCGGCAAAGTGGTGACAAATCTGATACTGACCTGGGAGAATGATTGTCAGCAGGAAGGTGGTAATACAAGCTGTAAAACACAATATAACAAATTACAAAATATGTACATAATAAAGGATAGTCTTGTTACTGGAGATATGGGATGGAACTCTACAGTGATTAAGGAATTTCCATATGCCTGTGTCTGTGACACCATTATCTCAGGGAAACCAGTTTTGCTGATTTCTACGCAGCAGATTGATAACAGCTTATTTACAAGTTATTAACAACTTCTAAATTTGTGTAAAATTTATACCTAACATCGTTTTGCTTTCCTTTATCTCATTTTAATTAAACCACAACCTGTGAAGTAGTAAATACTGTATTCACTGACATTTTAAACTATATAAACTTAAGAGGAAAAAGGCTGAGAAATTTGTTCAAGAATATCTGGATAGTATGCCGATTCTTATAAAAGCAATTTTATGATGTGTGCAGTTGAATTATGCTGCAGCAAAATGTCACACTACATTTTTATTATTACTGGAGGTCTGCCATCCATTATGGGATGTTTTTGTCACTTGTGAGGTGGTGCCTGCACTCAACACTTATTTTTTTTACAAGTCTCTTAGTCTTTTCCCTGCCCTCTCCATCTCTTAATCTCAGTCTTACTGAGAAGATCTGTCCAGCTACCTCCTCTTCTCTATCTTTACTTTATTCTTCATTTACATTTCCAGCTTCTCATATAAAAAAACCCTGACAATATGTAAGCTTGCATGTCTGATTTATTTCACTTACCATGATGGTCTCAGGATGCGTCTTTTTACCTACAAAAGACTCAAATTTATTCTTCTGGATGGCAGAGTAGAACACCACTATTTATAAATACCACATCAATTTATCATTCATCTGATGATGGACTTATAGGCAGATTCCAAGATTTCACTATTACAAAATATGGTGCTATGAACACTGGTATGCAGGTATCATAACATCTGTGTGTAACCCTTCTGGGAGGATACCAAGCAAGAGAAGGGTTGTGTCAATACAATCTCTAGTGTTAGTTGTTTGAGGAATCCATACTGGTTTCCATCCTGGCCGTGCTAGTTTATACCCTTACCAACGACGTCAAAGCATTTTTTGTCCTCCACACCTGACCAGTGTTTGTTATTAATTTCTTGACGTTGTTTAGTCTTTCTATGGTAGAATGGAATCTCAATTTGTTTAAATTTTCATTTCTCTCATGGTTATTATGTTGATAATTTCTTCATGAATTTACTGGTCATTTCTCCTTCTAGAAGTGTCTATTCATTTGCCTATTGATTTGATTGGGCCTTTGCTTTGGAGGATGTACAGTTTACAGTTCTTTATGATTTCTAGATGTTAGTGAGTCTGTTTGAGGAATAGCTGATGGAATCACTCCCACCCCTCTGCTTTTTCCATTGTTTCTTTACTGGGCAGAAGCAGCTATGGTAGGTGACAAAACCAGGGGGAAGAATTTTGCCTCATGCAGGGCTTTTTTCTATTCCTCCTTTACTTTCTTCTCCCATTCTTTCCTCTTGGACTCATGTCTCCCACTCCTCTTCCTCCTTCTCCTCCTCTTCTCTGTCTTCTCTCTTCCCACCAAGCAGCTGGCCTTGAGCTGTACATGGCTGGCCTAGAGAGTGTTGTGTGCTTCCCAAGTCCTTTTTGGACCAGGGAGAAGCCAGTCTCTGAGGGATGGCTCATTTGTGGTCTAACTAGAGCCAACATGCTGTTGTCCTTGGTCTAGGGCCTAGAGTTGAGGTTACCAGGAACCCCGGTTCTTGGCTTATGGTGCCCTCAAGCAGCTCCCAGCACCAAGTGTTCTCAGAGAAACTTGGTGGTCAGAACGGGGTTTGAAGCTAAGCTGGAGGCTCCTGACTGTAGAGCAACCCAGGTGCTGGGCGCCTTTGTGATGCATGCTTACATGGAACACTGCAGATGTGAGGTGGTGATACTTCTGCCTGTAGGATCCAGGTGGGTACTGGGCATATGAAAAGTGATGTATCCAGGACAAGGAGAATTGGACCTCGCTAAGGAGCCTGGCATGGGTGTACATGAGTGTGTAGCTGGACCACACATTAGCAGAAAAAAGAGTAGGGGCACACCAGCCCACCTGGGTCTGAGGACACAAGCCTGCCCCATAGGACCTGTACCAGCCCCAAAGTTCTGATACAAGCTCTGTCAGGCATGGTGGCTGCAGGTTTCTGGGTCCTTTGGAGCTAGACAGTCCTTGGACAGGGTTGGGGCCCATAGAGGGTAACTGGTATACAGTGTCCCATGGGATGTGCTCAGCCCCAGCTCCTGGCCCTCAGGTGACAGGTCCCCGCCTGGGGCTGCCTTCCTTTGCTTGGGCTGAAGACCAGACAGTTGCCAGGCTGCCTCTGCTACCTCACCTGGCCTGCATGCTGGTGCCAGAGTCCAGCGGCCTAGAACACAAGACCCAGGTGGCTGTGGGGCTGACAAGGTGAGAGTGGTGGGAAGGGACATGTGTCTACAGTCAGGAAGGGGTCCTGAGAAGCTGTGTTCTGGGGTCACCATGTGTTGTCCCTCTAGGCCATCCTGACGCTGGGGGGAATGTGTATGGCAGGCTTCCTCTTAAGGTGCCTGTCACTCTTCTCTATCCCACCTCTGTCCTCCCCACAAACGCTTACTGGGAAGCTGTGTGTATTTGCCAGATGGGATATGTGTCTTTGGAAGCCCTGGCTAGCCATCTCCACCCTGACCTCTGCACACCAGCACAGTCTGCAAAGCCTCTTGGGAAAGGCGTGGGGGTGGAGAATGCCCAGGCCTTTCTTGAAGAGGCAGTTACAGAGGGGGAGGGGCATCTCCAACTGTCACTTCAGTCCCACCCTGGACCAGAGAGGGGACAGCAGTTCAGTCCCATTGCTAGAACTGGGGCTTGAGGGATCTGAGCACAGCTGTGAAGCGGGTGGGGGAGACTGAGGACTCCTTGAGAAGATTTGCCTGAGAGTTGTGTTCACATTGTCCTCTGTGACTCAGTCATCAGCACGTATTAGAGAAGGGGTTCTCTTGCCTCCGTCAAAGGCGAGCAGCTTCTGCAGGTCTCGGTCAGTCAGCACCCAGCAAACCCACAGAGTGAAGTCCTTTGAAAAGCTCGTTCCTGTCACACCAAGACTAGCCACTGTAATCCCATTGACGTGGTCTTGGCTTCGGTCAGCTGGGGCTTTGTGCATCAGACTCCAGTCCCTCAGTGAAGGACTTGGCCTGCTAGATGTGGTGTCACCGGTCTATGCAGGTTTCGCATCTCTTGGCTTCTGTTTTACTTTACATGTGTTGGAGCATCACGTCCTTTTGAAATGTTGTTCATAATTTGTCATATTTTGATTAGAATATGGTCACAGTACCTAATGATGACATTTGCGGTGAAGTTGATGCATTTAATGTGTAGAATGGAAATTAGGTCCTACCCAGGAGGAGGGACCCATAAAGCATAGATTGCTCTCCAAGTCACTTCTGTGGAGCAGCGGGCCCCACCCAGCACTGCCAGCACGAGGCTGTGCTTTTGGCAGTGCAGCGAGATGCAGGCTGCGGGTGGAGACTGATAACATGATCCCTGCAGCTTTCAGGGCACAGTTCAGGCACTGGGCCCTCAGAAGCTCTTATGCCTCCTTAGAATTCATGGAGCTACAGGGGACGGGTCTCACTAGGATGGGGGACCCTGCTATGATGGTCACTCAACTGACCCAAGTGCAGTGAGCTGCTGCCCTTTCAAGCAGAAACACCTCTCTGGTGGAGACCGCACACTTGCCACAGACATGAAATTGACCCAATCCTAAAGGGACACCCAGGCATAGAGATAAGTTTTGGAGTTTGTTTTTCAAACTTGAGTAATGAAGACCTGTCAAGTAGTGCACCTCTGAAATCCCAATACAGAGGGAGGCTGGGGCAAGAGGGTCACATGTTGGAGCTTAGGCTGGGCAACCTAGCTACTTAGTGGGACTTGACAAAATTAAAACTAAAAATTAAATGGACTGGGGATGTTGCTCAGGGAGAAGCTACTGGAATCCATCCCCAGGCTTGGAGAGAAATGTTTCCTGATTTGTAAAGTACCTCAGTCAACAGTATTCTGCAGTGTCCGGGTGACACTGCACTCATTAGCTCCAGGAAATTTCGGTCCCTGGAACCCAGGATGCTGTGAAATTTCGTATTTTAAAAATAGAATTTAATCAAGATCCTGAGAACGTGCATCCATTTCACATAGAAGGGGTGGAGCTGTGCTGTCCTGTCCATCTGTCCTCCAACATGTAACCATGTCAGGGGGGATGGACTACTCTCAGCTGACCCGAGAGCCTATAGAGGGGCATTTTCCAGAGGCCTCTGGGAGCTCTGTGTGCTGGGGACCCCGTGCTCTGGCCTGTGGACAGAACAGATCTTAGGAGCCTAAGCCCCTCTCTGTCCCCACCTCTGTGTCTGTGACTCAGAAACTCTACTGCCAGTTTCCACCATAAGAAAAAATGGGGATTCAAGGACCCCAAGTTCATAAGGTAAAAGCGTTATCATGAGTACTGACTGGGCAAGAGATGGAGATGACCAGGCTGTGTCTCCAGTGTGTGCATGAGGGCTGTGGGCAGACAAACCCCAGCCAGCAGCGATGACACACAAGTCTGAACCCTAAGATAAAGACAGAAGGAGCAGGACTTCAGGGGAGCTAGTTTCTCTTGAATGACTCTGATTGTGACCTTTTATTATTCATTCATAGTGCACTGCTCATTTAACTGATAAGTGCTTCCTGACATAATTTATTGAATAAATGAGTGAAAAACGACGAATTATTGAGGATTTTCCATTGCCCAAAAAGCTAGATTCACCAATCCCTTAAAAAATCAGATGACAAAAGAGAAATCTGATTAGTTGATAGGAAAATGTAGAAAAGGTAAATTTCAGGAATATACAGTGAGCAGGGGCCAGGGACTAGCAGCAGGGAGAGGGGAGGAACCTCTCCCAGGCACAGTACTGAGGGGAAGGCACTGACCCTGGACAGCAGTGCAGGGTGCATACACTAAGAATGCACTTCAGGCAACCATACTGATTGTTTAGAACTAAACTAAAAGCCTAACTTTTAAAAGAATTCTACTGTTTACATAGAGCCAGAAAATGAGAGCAAATACATATGCTAAGACATGAGCCACAGTAATGGGGGGAAGGGCAGGGGTGGGGCAAGAGCTGGTCCCAGGGGGAGTTCAGGAGCTGAGCCCTGCTGTGGAGCCACCAGGCACCTCTGCCCTGCAGCTGGTGCAGAGGGCTTTTCTGGTGCTGGCTCCTTCTCTGGTGTCACAGCTGGGGAGGGAGCTGCAGGTGGAGCTGGTGTGG